CATACCCGTCGAGATCGGAGAGCCAAGCCTGAGGTATTCCCATATCAGTGGAGTGGATAACGATGAAGGCAGGTTACAAGACCTGGACGAGTCCAAAAAATGAAGAGACATGGCTCACATAAGGATGATAGCCCAGAAACAGCAAGCGGAAAGATACTACAACAAGAAAGCCAAAGTAAGGTCGCTCAAAGTTGGCGACTATGTCCTCAAAGCCAAAACACTAGCATCAAGAGATCCGAACGAAGGGAAATTGGGAACCAATTGGGACGGACCATACAAAATCATCGCAGCGGCGAAGAAAGGGGCATTCCAACTAGAAACGATGGAAGGAAAACCACTCCAAAACAATTGGAACGTCGCCCACCTCAAATACTTCCACTTCTGAAAGGCATCTCCTGAGTCGTACTCTTTTTCCCTGACCCGAGTTTTGTCCCAATTGGGTTTTCTCGGGAAGGTTTTTAACGAGGCGGCAAAGGGGATACTCGGTGGAACAGGAGCACAGATTCACTATATCGGCCAGTCGACACGAGCCATGGGCCAATATAGTGAAGGGACTACACTAATTATTCTCCATCATAGGGACGTTACTCTCCAGTATAGGCACAATATTCTCCATTGTATACATAGAAATCTCCACTGTATGTACAAAAATCTCCATTGAATGAACAATATTCTCCATTGTATACACAGAAATCTCCACTGTATGTACAAAAATCTCCATTGAATGAACAAAATTCTCCATTGTATGCACAGAAATCTCCACTGTATGAACAGAAATCTCCAATGAATGAACGGGAATTTCCATCTCATGACGGATACTGCTTCGACGACAGTCGAATTAACATAATGGCCAAGGCCATCGAATCCGGTTCGACCTCGTTCGAACTTCGACGAATAACGCTTCGACGACAGTCGAATTAACATAATGGCCAAGGCCATCGACATCGGTTCGACCTCGTTCGAACTTCGACGGATAACGCTTCGACGACAGTCGAATTAACATAATGGCCAAGGCCATCGACATCGGTTCGACCTCGTTCGAACTTCGACGGATAACGCTTCGACGATAGTCGAATTAACATAATGGCCAAGGCCATCGACATCGGTTCGACCTTGTTTCAACTTCGACGGATAACGCTTCGACTACAGTCGAAGCAACACCATAATGGCCAAGGCCATCGCGGTTCGACCTCGATTCAAACTTCGGCAGATACCGCTTCGACGATAGTCGAAGCAACACCATAATGTCCAAGGCCATCGACATCGGTTCGACCTCGATTCAAACTTCGGCAGATACCGCTTCGACGACAGTCGAAGCAACATCTTAATGGCCAAGGCCATCGACATTGGTTCGACCTTGTTTGAACTTTGACGGATACTGCTTCGACGACAGTCACGGCACGACCCTCCGACGAACGATAAGAACAATCTCTACGGAGGTTAAACATTATATTACAAAAGAAATAAAGGGGAAAACACCAAATGGACGAGGCAATAAAAATAAAATCTATATTGCAAAAAAAATATATTTACATCCGTCCCCATGGACAAGCTCCAACACACTATAAAATCAAAAAAATACACTATACAAGTTCACGACTGCCCGTCACCCCCGGGGAAGTAAACGTCATTATACCAGGAGCTGGAGTCGAGCCGGTTGACGTCTTCAGAAGCAGGCCCCTCCCCATCAGGAGAGTCAGGGTAATAACCGCAGGCCTCACGAGCAGCACGAGCCTCGTCTCCTCATGCCCGAACCTCCTCCTCCGTCGCGCGGCCCGCGGCATGAAGCTCCTTATATACATCGAGCCTAGCCTTCGCAAATACCCACATCTCATGCGCATTACGACGCATACCCCGACCAGGTGAAGGACGAGATGAGGAAGGCTGGGAAAGTCCATTATTCTCTGCCATCCTAGCATCGAGCTCGGCGGTTAAGTCCGCCACCCTCCGCTGCAGGTCGACGTTCTCCGCTGCCACCCCGCGGCTCAGCTCAAGCTCATCATCTTTCGTTCTAAGAAGCTCCTCCAACTCGCTGTTGCAGGCTACAGCCTTCATCAGCTCGCTATCCGCCTCCTCCAGCTCGGCCCCTCTACGTTCCAACTGGGACTGCCCTCGTTCAACTACCGCTCTGTGCTTAGAGCGATACCTTCGATACTTTTTCAGCATCTTCTTGTAAAGGGCCGTTCGTTTCTGCTCACGGCGCCCCCTCTCCACCTCCAAAATAAGGGTCTAAAAAGAAAAACAGAAATAAGCACACCTCGAATCAATCTTACAACACACGGAAGGACAAAAGGGAATAAAAAATTACCTGCAAAGCCATGCCAGAAATCTTCCGTGACAGCTCCGCATCCTCCACAGTACTGAGCGCCTTGCTCTCGGAGGCGGCACACAGTAGGGTAAGGGCCAAAGCAGCCTGTTCGCTGTTTAACAGCAAGTTATAAGCCTCCGAAATTGTAATGCGGCGTTCGGACCCATCCGACGTCATCTCCACGTGGGTAAGGCCACCCACAAACTCGTCGACATCCTCCTGAGCAACGTCGGAGTCCGATCTCTCCGTTTCCTCGCCTGGTCCCTCGACGTTGGTCGATGATCCCCCCTCAATGGCAGGTGCGAAACTAGCCCCGGGAGCAGCACCCCTCTGACGAGCCGACATCCCAGACCGAATAGCGTCGGCCATGAATGGTCTGCGCGTCGGCTGGGGCACGTTACTTCCCTCGGCCTCGGTGGCCACTCCCTTACCCTTCTCGAGCCTTCTCCCTTTTCTGTCTGACGATTCCCCGTCATCAGAGGGTCCGTTCACGGGTTGCAGAGTCAGCACCAGCGATGCCGACTCCCACATAACCATAGTCGTAGACGTGACCCCTGTAAAGGAGCTGGAGAAGGATCCTCTCGGACAGACTCAACCAGTATATCGGCCGAGGCAACGTCAAATCGATGCAGAGTGGGAATCAGCGCCCTCTTCCTAGAAGCGCCTCGACTTGTCGCCATAAAAATAAGTAAGCAAAGTTGCAGAATTTACAAAGCAAAAATCGATAATCTACCTGAAGAGACTTTGGGGCCGTAACGCTGCAGGAAGGCAGGCCAAGTGCGTGTCTCTTCCGCGTAAGGAAGCAAGCCCTTAACCCATCCTCTGAGGTTGGCAACAAGCCGGGGCGGGTGAGCTGCAATATAATGGTCAGAATGGTAACAGTCACGAGTAACACAGAAGCTGACAAACTATAAATACTTACGTCTCGAGTTCCACCTCTCTAGGAACCCTGCGGGATTGGAGACCATGTGCTCGATCCTAATAAAAAAATATTTGTGCCAAAACCCACGACTTGCTCGGTCGTCGATTTTGACCACCAACCCTTTCGTACCACGGCCTCTCAGATGCACCATGGTCCCCCTTAGATAGCAGGCATTGAATAAATGAAGGAGGTGATGAACCGTGACTTCGCATCCGGCCAACTCCGCGTACTTGGTCAGCAGCCGGAGCACCTTCATAGTATACGGCGTAAGTTGAGCTGGACACACATTGTAGAACCGACAAAACTCCTTCGCCAATAGGAAAAGAGGGAGGTTATAACCGATCGAGAAGGAGTATTCATAAAAGGAACAATATCCTGGCCGATGAACGTCCACATGATCCCTTCCCGCTGGAACCATCTTTACATAGGCAGGTATGCCGTACTTCGTGCGGAGGTCATCCAAGTGGTTCTGTAACGACTCCGAAAACTCTGGAGTCGGAATTGGGGAGTCTTTGCTAAAATCTCCGGGATAATATATGTTTTGGCAACAATGCCTCCACAGTGAGAGGACTGACGTCTTCTTCCCCCACTTCTCCACCATCAGAAGATGGCGGCACATTCGCAGGAGCAGCCGCCGGGACCCTCTCGTCAGATCGGCAAGGTTGATGCATGGTTTTCAAAGAAGGAAAGAGTTAAGCGCAACCCAACAAAAGAATTAAAAGAAAAGAGGGTTTCGATCAAAGGGGAAACACACTGGAATAGGAAAATATGTATTGGAGGTCAGGAATTCTCTTGCAAATGACCAAAGTTTGAATCAAGTTGAACCCTTCTCCTATTTATAGGGCTGATTGGCGCCAGATTCGAAGAAGCAGACGTCGAATCGGCACGGGAAACCAGGTGCCAAAAGCTTCTGATCCCCTTGCCTCGAGAACACGCACAATGATGACGCATATGAATGCTGACGTCACACGAGGAAAGGCGTTTCGCTTCAACGATCTGAAAATCATGATTACTGTCCCTTGCTTGTCACGTCACAAGTCATTGACAAAGTCAAACTCTCCCGGTACGGAGGAATCGATTCCGCTCATCGAGGACGCATTCGCTGCGACCCCGACGAGCGGAGGGACTAACTGTATGGGGTCGAATTTGACCAACTACGTTCTTCAAGACAGCACGACCGACCAAATATGCGTAAGCCCGGTTAGAAGAGCGACCTATGAGCAACAAGAGGGACGACTCCACGACCACGCCGGCTGCTCCACAATATGTACTTTATTCTTTGCCTTTTTGTATTCGAGTAAGGATCCTTTATTATATAAACAGGATCTAAGCCTTGTAAAAAGGGGATTCGGATTATTGAAAATACAATGTCTCTCTTCTCTCTCTAACATTGTCTCTCTTATCTAATAGAAGTTTATCATTTTCTCTCATCAACTTTGTTTATCTCATTGTTATCTGATTCTATATTCAAGATCATCCTAGAGTTTATTATCTTCCACTACGATTTATCCCTTCATCTACATTGATTGATTTGCTTAAAAAGTATTAAACCATTTTTGAGTCAAACAGTGGTCTTAAAAGCTTAAGGGATAAAGCTTTGTGGGGTCATGATTTTTGTGTAATTATAAAAGCTTCTCATTAAAGGTAAAATGGGTAAAATGAAGAGTTTAAAGTTAAATTATTTCCAAATTTAAAAATATATCATTTATTTTGAAACAGACTACAAAAGAAACTAGCTCAATAGAAAACTATAGAAAACGGAGGGAGTAATACAAATGAAGTACATAGAGCAAGGTTTTTTCAGTTTTCTGGAAGAAGTGACAGAGGCAAATCGTGGAGATCGATGTACAGGAGAGAGACAATGAACGGAACAGTACATCAAGAGAGACATCAACAGACTCATTTTGCTGAAGGGAAAGACGACGATGATGACGTTGACGTCGACGGCGGAGGAGGAGGAGGGGAGTCCATAGACGATCCTTCTCATCACATTCGCTACGACCACAACTACCACCATGCCCTCCACAACGGCGGCGCCGGCGCAACCATGGAGGAGGCTGCTGCGCTGAATGTTGTGGAAGGCGTTGCACATAATGCTCTCTATGTCCCTGGCGTAGGAAGTAGCAATCAGCTTACGCTCTCGTTTCGAGGCCAAGTGTTTGTGTATCCAGACGTTTCACCTGAAAAGGTGCTTCTTTTTATTAGCCCTTTTACTTGGGAATCTTGATCGTTTTTGTGCAATGTGCTATAAAAGTGCATATTTTGCTAATTGAATTATTTTGATATTTAAATTGAGGTTAAATGTGTGTTTCAGGATGAAATTTTTGGCTCACTAACTTATGCATTCTGCTTAGTATATTCATGGATAATATTACTAGTTTCCACATGGATTAAAAAATACTAGGTCGGCATCCAAGGGTGTGACCTGGTGGTCAACGAAGTGGGAGGAGAACCATGAGGTTTTAGGTTCAAATCCTAGCGGAGGCAAAAACCGCTAGGTGAGTTCTTCCCATTTGGCTAAGCCTGGGTGGGTAGGGTTACTCAATACTTGTGCTGATGGTTTGGACACCACCATCATTAAAAAGAAGGATAAAAAAAACTAGGTTTTGCAGGAATCTCTAGGGCATGTTAGTCCAGGCAAACATCTGCTTTTGTGGAATAAACGGGTCCTAATAGAGTGAAATGGATATAGAGGAACCATATAGCTGATTGTAACTAGTTTGGGATTTAGGTGTAGTTGTTGTTGCTTTTGTAACTTAGGTGATTCAGTACTCGGAAATTGGAAATTCATATGATTCAATGTGAAGGATGAGTTGGTATGGATATTGATTAGTCTTTGAAGCAAAGAGGTCGAAGATTTTTGTTATTTGTAAAATCCGAGTGACAGTTAACTTTCAAAACCTTATGGAGATGGATGGACTTTGATTTGTCTTAGTTTGTTGAATTACTTTTTGCTTATCTACATGCATCTTGATGAATCAATCAATTATATCTCAATCGCGAATTGTCTGAGGTCGGCTAAACTAATAATCTGTATTCCGCTGTAGGTAGGTCCTTCTCGTCTGAACACGGAATAATCTTGTCTCATAAGGCAAGCATTGTACGATGGAGTAAAAGTTTCTTTTGTCTTCATTAATTTTCAGGTTCAGGCAGTGATGCTGCTGTTGGATGGATATGAAGTCCCTACTGGCACCGCTGCTGTCAATGTGGCTTCCCAAAGTAATTGGGTATAAACTTTTCTCCCGACATGTAGGGGTTTTCTGTTATTCTGGTTTGCAATCAATTAACCTGCTTCTTCTGCAATTTCCTTAGGCTTCAAGTGAAGGTCCTGGAAGATTGAATCAACCACAACGGGCTGCTTCTTTGAGTCGCTTTAGGGAAAAAAGGAAAGAACGATGTTTTGATAAAAAGATTCGATACACTGTTCGGAAGGAAGTTGCTCTTAGGTAATACAGTTTCATTTATTTCCTTGGAGGACATCATGTTAGATGTGTTGGAGATAAATGAGTTTCTGCCATGATTGGTCTACCATGACTAGTCACTAGTCATCTCCACCAATTTTCATTATGTCGCAAGTTGAGCTTTCCTTCTAACTACTTGTAATTGGAGTAGTAAAGAAATTTATTTAGTGCTTTACATTCATCACTTCTTGTTGCTCTAAGCTCTAGATAGCAATGTAATGGACTGTGTGAGACCAAAGACCTGCTTGAAATGTTAGCAAACTGTTTCTATGGGCTACACACAACATGTTCATCTACTAATATCCACTTCATAGAAGAAAAGTGACACCTTGCCCCTTGTAAAGCGTATTGCTGTGATACTTTTCTGGTGTTTTTGCATTTTACCTAATATTAGAAGATTCCATTATTGCTCTGCTGCTAATTGTACGGCATAAATGAGTTCATGTCTCTGGCTTTTTAGTCGGACGGAATAAGAGATATAAAATAGTTTTATTTTATTTTTATTTTTTTTATCAGGATACATTAGGTACTAATTTATGATTCTCTTGTGTGAAATGGACTGTCCAGTAGCAGTCTTTTTAAAACTTTTTGGGTAATGTAGATATCACTGAGAATATAAACATAATCAGTTATATATAGACATAGCAAAAGGTTAGAGGGCCAAGGAGATATGCCATCTATCCCAAAAAAGGAAAACATTAGAATATGTCACATAGCTCCAGTTGAAAGGGATCAGTGCTGTAGATGGTGATGTTTTAGCCAAACTACTATCCCTAAAGTAAAGGGACAGAGAGTATCATGAGTGGCAGAGCATGGGCAAGGCTCCTATCAGACGAAAAAGAGGAGGTATTTAGCAGAAGCCCACGTGCACTGAAGATTTTAAAGTTGACTGTTACCATAAATAAGGCATTGCTTGACATGCGAATATGACGTTGTTTAATGCCCTGACCTCCTTATAACGGAGTCCCAATTCCATGGTTGGATATACACTTTCAGTGACATGATCATTGGAGGAACCTTGAAGGAGCCTAATGGCATCGCACACTAGTGTGACATAGACCTTGGTAACGTGTTGACTTGTTGGCCAGCCTTCGCTTAGAACCAAACATGACACTTTGGTAGGTTACTCTGAGCGTCAAAAGCTAGTCGTGGTAATATGTACATACAAATACAATATTGGTAGTGAATGCGATCTTCCATTGGCTTATCTCTCATGCAGGCTCTCATGCAGGCATGTTTCAATCTTCAATTTGGGTGCATGTCATTTGGAAACTCTCCTCCAATGGAAGTAAAATGTCTATTGCTAAAAGATGTTTATACTGATATATGGGCATCTAGTTGTGAGCTTGTGACATTGTAAATGACGGCGGCATCTTGAGCGTCAGGCTAGTTGTGGACCAATTATTGTTCCTTTTCTCTTTTTCTTTCCCCAAATTTTATGTAGGGGTTACTCGGTTCTTTTTCTTTTCCTATTTGAATCTCTAAAGTTCAGTCTTTGCCTATTCTTTAACATGCAGATTCTAGTTAGGGTGGTTTACAAAGTATTTTCAGTCAAAATTGATTTCCGTGGTCTATTGCATCTCACAGATCTCTGTTTTGCTGTCAGGATGCAGCGTAAAAAGGGTCAGTTTACATCTTCCAAGTCAATCTCTGATGAAGCGGGTTCTTCTTCTGCGGAGGGGAATGCAGGCTCTAGCCAAGAAGAACCAGAAACATCGTGAGTGTCAGACGTCTGTAGTTGTATGTGTTTCTGTTCTGTGAATAAGTCCCATGGTCATACCTCTCCTTATCCAAAAAGAAAAAGTTCTGATGCTACCTCTGATAAGTTATTGACCGTTATATAGCAGAAGATCAAACTTTATGTGGCGTCTGAGTTGAACTGATAAAATCAAACAAATGCAGCACCTGAGATCTTTTTTTTTTTCAACAGATGTAGACATTGTGGAATTAGTTCGAAATTCACACCTATGATGCGTCGTGGACCAGCTGGCCCAAGGTCGCTCTGCAATGCATGTGGACTTACGTGGGCCAATAAGGTTAGTATTGAATTTGACGACTTTACTCACTTAGGTTTTGTAACTTATCAGTTTAAACAATGATAATTCTGTCCACATTTTGCTCCATGTATATGAGCCTATTTATGTAGAATAGAATTGTGTGCTACGTTGTGTTACCATTCTCTTTTTCTTTGATTATGGGATAAGCAGGGGTCCCTTGATCAAATTTTGGAGGCATTCCTACCTACCTAATGTCAATTATTCCCATTCCCAGCGACAACTCTTATTTCAGTTAGCTCTTTTAGATGGCATTCCTACCTAACTAATGTCACTTATCCCCATTCCTATTAAAGTTTAAAAAAGGATTAATCTTTGAAGAAACAAGTTTATGTGAGAAGGAAATTCAGAAAAGAAGAGGGGGCACTTAGTGAAATGGCAAGAGGTAATGAAGCAGAAAAAGGGAGGTGGATGGGGAGTTAAAAAATTGAGACTCCACAATAAGAGGCTCCTATAAGTGGTTATGGAGACTTAATGATGATTGGGAGGAAACCTGAAGGATGTGATCATCATCACCAAATATGGTAAAGAAGACTGCTGGGAACCTTGTTCAGTTACTACACCGTTCAAAGCTGCAATCTGGAGTAACATAAGTAAATTATGGGGTGGATTGAGAATAAATTGAAGCTGGAAATTTGAAATGGAAGTTGCATGATGTCTGGCCGGGTGAAAGGAGATTAATGCATATGTTTCCTATTTTGTACAGAATAGCTGCAAACAGAAACTGTATGGTTGCTGATTGTTTTTTAGATAATGGTTGGAGATAAGATTTAGTAGAATTTTAATTATTGGGAAGTGGATTAAAATTAGTTAGTTATTAGATTTTTTGAAGCATGTTGTGTTGGATGATAACAAGGGGGTGTTATGAACCAGCACCAGCCCAATCTCACACAAGTAGCTAATGGGCCGAGTACAAGCAATAGGGCCAAGTTAATTTGGGATCCAGGTTGAGTAGTAGTTTGTAGACGTAGGACAGTTCGCTTAAAAAGGGTAGTGGCTGTGAGTTGGAGGTTATGCGAATTGTTGAGAACTCTGTTCCCCTCTCGTCTCCGTTCTTCTGGCTTCTTCCTCTGGACTATCTCTTTCTGTTCTCCCTCGGCTCTCTCTATCCTTCTTCTCTGAATCTCCTTCTTAGTTCTAGTTTCTGTTATTGTAATGATTGACTCTTTGAGTTTATGAATTAAACCTATCATTTCCCTCGTTTACTTTGTGCTGTGAATTCGGGTTCATAACAGAGGGATAAGCAGATCCGGTTGGCTAGTTGTAATGGGGTGTTTATCGTGAGTTGTAACGTGCTGCAAAAGCATCTGGGAAATGAGAAGTGGACTGGCCATGAAAGTTAATTTGGAAGACTAAAGCTCCTACAGTTGCTTGTTTCGGATGGATACCTTGTCAAAAAAAATAAAGCGTGTGTTGGATGGATTGCTGCTAAGAATGCTTGCTTAACACAAGTCACTCTTCAGTAGAGGAGGTTTTCACTATGCGGTGGGTGTTCTTTTCTGAAAAGGGACCTTCAGAAGGTTCTTTATTGACAGGGAGGTTGTTAGAGTGACTGAATTATTCAAATTGCTGGATAGCTTCAAAGAGATTGTAGAGGAAGATACTGTGAAGTCAGCTTATAGGTTTCTAATTGTTCTGGACAACCACACAGTGGGCCGGGAACTGGAAGCACATCTGGAAGGTCAAGATACCTTTTAAAGTGGCATGCTTTTGTTGGCTAGTGGTTAAAGAGGCTGTTCTAACCCATGATAGTTTGATAAAGAGAGGAATGCAACTATGCTCTAAATGTTTTTTGTGTGGCAATGAGATTGAAACAAATAACCACCTCTTTTTACATTGTAAAGTGACCAGCAAGTTGTGGTATTTCTTCATGAGTATGAAAGGATTAAACTGGACAGTACCCAGGACAACTGCAGAAATGATAGCATGCTGGAATGATCCAGGTATCCCACTGAGGCAGAAGAAATGGTGGAGCATTTTCCCAGCTTGTATTTGGTGGACAATATGGATGGAAAGGAACGGTAGATGCTTTGAAGATAGATTTAGTTCTGAACAAATATTCAAGACGAATTGTATATTTTTCTTTCACTTTTGGTGTAAAGAAGCTCGTAGAAGATGTGGAGTCTATAGTGGACATCATTGGGGCCTTGTAACTACCACAAGACTAGGTTTTTGCTCTTTTTGGGGTCTTGTAACTTTCTGTAATCTCTTAACACAATCTTTGTGATAAGGTTACTTTTATCTTATTTAAAAATATGTTACCTTCTTAAAAAAAATAAAAAACAAATGGCTTACTATTACACTCTGCGGGTTCGGACTTTGTTAAACATCTTTGGAGTGCAACGGATGATGCCTATGGATATGAATAGTTTGCTGCTGTGTTGGCTTGGACAGAGAGTTGGAAAAGAGCTAAAGCAGATCTGGAGGATTATTCCTGTCTACATCATGTGGGCTATTTGGCTTGAGAGGAATAAGAGATGTTTTGAGGATAAGCAACTACATCTGTCTATTATAAAGTATTTTTTTTTTTTTTGGTATCCTTTCTATGAAAAGTAACAACTCTTATCCAGTGAGTTCATGAAATGTCTACTTTTGTACTTTTTAACACTCTTTTTCTCTTGACTTCAATTATCAAGTTTTGAGGTAAGTTGGGAGTCAGAATTTAGAAGTTATTTCCATGATTCCAATCAGGAATCTGGTTTTACAATTGATGATATTGCTTTGCCCTCCTTGTGGTAAATTGTGATTGCAGGGGATTTTAAGAGATCTTTCTAAAGTTTCGACTGCAGGAGCTCCGGATCATACTGTGAAATCCAGTGAACAGGTGCAGCTCTCTCTCTCTCTCTCTCTGGTGGGGTTCTCAATATCCTTTGATTGTAGTTTGTCCGGGCCCTCAAATTAACTGTCTTTGTATGATATTCTCACTGCTAGAGCAATGATGAAGCGAATGGATCAGATGCTATGGCTGCTTCTGGTATCATTACTTCAGATGATGAAAATACAGTGCTACCGCGTGAATGATAAAGAGCTCTATTTTGCGGTCACCTCTGGTGGCACTTAATCTTTCTTTAAGGTGAAAGACCTGAAATTTATATGGTGTCTAATATCTGCCAAACTTTTGCATACTTTTGTACATTAGAAACTACAACTTAGGCAAAATACGTAGATAGAGGACCTTTGTTGCATAGATTTAGGTCATATCATCTAGAGTTTTATTCTGCTATTCAAATGTAATTTATTTTGAATCTGTATCCCAGATATATACAACTCACTAAGCACGTAAGTGTTTTAAAATAGTCCTCCTTCGATCCATGATATTCGTGTGTGCAGAGGTAAGAATTACAAATCTGAAGAATCAGAGTATGCACGCAAGAGGGACTAAAGTTATTGTGATACTACGGAAAATTGATCTCATGCATGTCATTTAAATTCCTAAAGTTTATGTACCAGAGAATTAATGTACTATTGGTCCAATTAATTCAGTTCCTGAAAATTATTATTTTTTCTCCGATTAAAATTGGCTGAAAATGATTACTTAGAGAAGAAACGTGTGAACCTCCCAAATGTTAGAAATTCTGTTTCTGTTCTTTGCGTAGGAAGAAGCCAAAGGTCAATCATCAAGTTGCAAGAAAAAAAGAGAAAAGGTTAATGGTACATTACATGTAAAATTAAATGGAGAATCGAGTGAAAAGTCTGATATATTCGACGGGCTTCACATCCAATCTATTATTTGCAGAGGTTTTTGTTTTGTACCTTTTGTCCCGGGGAAAAGACATAATTACCTATAAAAGTTAAAATATTTATCCTGTTCTATCCATTAAAAATTCTATCCATGAAATAATTTCAATTGCTACCAATTTAAGCTAAAAGACACTGAAACCCAAAATAACGACCAAACACCTAATGCCATAACTATAAAAACGGAAGAGCAGCTCAAATTTTGACAGAATTTCACAAAAACTAGCGCATAAAAACTGAGATTACAACAACAAAAATTTTAGATCACAGAATCGTTGTTGAAGATTTGAAGATCGCGATGCAAAGGCCGAAAAAAAAAAAAAGAACGATAGTAGCTGAAAATCCGACATTTTTTCTACTCAAATTCTGTTGAATCAAAAATATTTTCAATCTGCAGATACGAATCATAGCAACTGATTTGAGTTCGAAGATGTTGAAACTTTTGCTGCTCAAATTCGCATCCCGTTGTTCAGATTTTGATTTTGGAGATTAAAGACGTTTAGCGCACAAACTGTGTAAAAGCATCAAAAACAAAATTTTAACTCTATTCTCAATATGATGATCTGTAGATCTGAATCATAATAGCTGACACTGTGTAAAAGTATCGAAAAAACTAATTTTTAATTGAAATTCTATTCTCAATATGGAGATCTGGAGGTCTAAATCATAGCAGCTGATTTGAGTTGGAAAATTTTGCTGCTCAAATTCACTTGTCACGACCCAAAATCTAACCATGGTTGTGATGACGCCTATCGTGTTACAAGGCAAGCCTACTTCCCAAAATATTACTACTAATTTAATTATAAGAATTTAATAAAATATTTCCAATAATTTAATTCCTGATAAACTAAACCAACTCTAAATATAATTAATATAAAATACGGAAACGAGTCCCAAACATCGGGGTGTCACTAAGTCATGAGCGTCTAAAACCATGAACTCAGATATATAAACTGTCGCAGCAACAGCAAAAGTAAATGCAACCTCATAGCAATGTCACTCCATCACTCAACGCTCACACTCAGCACTCCACACTCAACACTCTGCGCTTACTGGAGGTGTGTACAGACTCCGGAGGGGCTCCCAAAGCCCAAGCGCTAAGCACGGACAACTCATGTGCGACCATGTCAATACCTGGATCCGCACGGTCAACTCACGTGCTACGCGGACAACTTACGCGCTATGGTATAAATACCTGGACCCGCACGGTCAACCTCACGTGCTACGCGGACAACTCACGCGCTATGGTATTAATATCCTCACAATCAGGCTATCATATCAATACCTGGATCCGCACGGTCAACTCACGTGCTACGCGCACACCTCACGCGCTATGGTATCATTACCCGGACCCACACGGTCAACTCACGTGCTACGCGGATAACTCACGCGCTATGGTATTAATATCCTCACAATCAGGCCATCGGTCTCACTCAATCATGTACCTCACTAGCATCACCATCATTAACAAATAAGGGGACACAACCCACATCAAGTATCACAGCATATTAGCAAATAATAAAGACGGAAGTAAACATGTACAATAATTTCTATGACTGAGTATAATTAATGTGAGCATGAATAAAGCCTAAGCATGATCCCTAACATGAAGGCAGACAAGTTCAACAACAAGTAAATGCATAAACACAGATAATGGCCATGAGGACTCACGGGTCGGACCAAGTCTCAATCCCTCGAGATATACACCCACACGCCCGTCACCTAGCGTGGGTATCACCTCCAAACAATCACATGATATCAAATTCTCCGGGTTTATACCCTCAAAGCCAGAGTTAAACTGTTACTTACCTCAATAGTGTAAAATTCTACTCCGGGATGTCTTCATCCCTAGATTCGGTCTCCAAAAGCTCAGAGTCTAACCAAAATCAGAATAGTACTATCAACATGGGCTAAAGAATCGAATTCCAACAGAAAAACTACATAAATAGGCCAAAAATCCGAAATCGGCCAAAACCCGACCCCCGGGCCCACGTCTCAAAACCAGTCAAAAATGGCAGAATAATAAACCTCGTCCTCTCCCGAGGCTAACCATATAAAACTTGTAAAAATCAGACTCCGTTTGGTCCCTCAAATCCTCACTTAAAACTCTCCAAAACTCAAACCCTAACTCCCTCAATTTTACTTTGAAATCATCAATCAAATTTCAAAAGCGAAGATAGATTCATGAAATATAACCAAAACCGAGTAGAGAACACTTACTCCAATCCATATGATAAAAATCGCCTCCAAAATCGCCCAAATCCGAGCTCCCCAACTCAAAATATGACCGAATGAGCAAACCCTAGTTTTATATATTTTTCTGCCAGCTATTCTGCCTCGTTTCTCATGCCAAACGATCCCAAAACTCGTATTTTATGCCTCCGATGGATTCCTTGTGAAATTCTAGTCAAGTTAGGCTTTTGAATTACTCAATTTGACCTTATAATGAATGAGATATGTAGGTGTTAATATTTGCAAATAGTGCAAATTTTTAATTACATCGTCAGTGGCAATTCCGTAACTAATCTAAAAAAATCTGGCAATCTAATTCTTAGTAAAATGACCCTAAAATCCTCATACGATGTCCAAATTCGACGATTCTTTTTTTTTACGGGTCCGTAATTATGATACGGATCTAATGCTTCAATCAAAAAAGAAATTGGAGCTCATTTGTTCAATATGATATTATTTATGCTTGAAGAAACGTCATCGAAACATAAGAAAAACGAGCGCAACACAATCCAAACCTATCCGAAACTCACCCGAGGCCCTCGGGACCTCAACCAATAATTCCAACAAGTCATATATCACTACCCGAACTTAGTCGAACCTTCGGAACACCCAAAACATTATCAAAACACCAAATCAACCTCGAATTCAAGCCTAAGGACTTCTAAACCTCAAACTTTCGCCAATTCAAGCCTAATTCTACCACGGACCTCCAAATTACATTCTGGACACACTCTTAAGTCTAAAATCACCCAACGAAGCTAACCGAATCATAAAAGTCCAAATCCGAATTCGTTTACTCATAAGTCAACTTCCGGTTGACTTTTCTAACTTAGCTTTCTAACTAAGAGACCAAGTGTTTATTTCACTCCAAAACTACTCCGAACCCAAACCTACCAACTTGATACAACTCAACACAGCTGAACAACACACAAAGAAGCATAAATGGGGGAAACGGGGCTATAACTCTCAGAGCGAACGACCGGGTCGTTACACCACTATTTCATGCAACCTGATCCATTTCATCAAAAAGTTAAAAATGGAAAAATTTACAAAGACAAGAACTTGCTGGTTCTCGTTATGAAATAGTATGCAGTCGGAGAAAAGTGTCTATATCGGGTTAATAAATCATACCCAAAAAGGTTCGTCTGCATTTTTGGAAGTAAAGACTAAATGCTTATTTCCATTGCTTGCTTATTATGTCATATTAAATTTGTATACACTCACATTAAACCCTGTTCTGATAGTGCTTTTATTTTCTGTAAAAAAAAAATATTATCAGTAAAATATGATACTAATACAGTATATCAATATGCTATATCAATATACTATATGAGTGTAGAACTGTACTAGTTTGTCTGTGTTTTTACTGACATCCTTATATTTATTTTCATTAATGTATAATTATTTTGATCATTGTAGTTTGAATATTACAATGAATTTGTAGCACCATATTATAGATATTTAGCATATCAGTATACTATTTGGATATACCATTATTTTGATCACTCTTCTCTGCACATAATTGTATTTGTATTATAAATAGGTATACCCTTAATTGCGTGGAAGAAAGATGCACTTGTAGCCTTAAAGTATCAAGTCTACGAGCATCAAAACTTTTCAAAGTGACGGATTTCGATTCTGTCCACAATTGTTTAAATGATAAGAGATTTTTTCCCACAAAATCAAGTTGTCTCAGCTTTTATTGCAGTTATGGCACAAGATAAGCTTGTTGACCCAAAAACTATATGTACACCAACATATATCCAGAGAGACATCCAAAAACATATGGTATAGACTTAAACTACATGCAAGCATAAAGATTAAAAGAAAAAGCAATACAATTATTGAGAGGAACACCAAGTGAGTCATACAAGAAAATACCAACATATCTTTACATGTTAGAGTACGCTAACCTAGGATCAATGATACAACTAGACACTGAAGTAGATGGAAGCTTCTTGTATGCATTCATAGCGATATATGCATCGATTAGAAGCTGGACCTATTGTAGGCCAACATTTGTAGTTGGTGGAAATTTTTTAAAGTCAACATATAGAGGGACCATACTCACAGCTTCCACGCAAGATGCAGAGGGTAAGAAAAAAAGTTTCAGAATCAGTAATGAATAATTCATGTATTTTCGTATTTCAAAAATGCAATCCAATTACATTAAGTTAAGCAACAAAAAAGATCCTCAGTACCATATGATACCAACGTGGTATACAAGTATAACAATAGAGTATATAATTATTTTGCTACATACTTGCACCAACCTATGACTATACTACTATATGAAATAATATATTAATATTATGTCTTGTAATTAATA